TTTCCAGCTTCTGTTCGCACAGCTATGATGCATCTTCTTGTGGGTAAGACCATGCAGATATCTATGCTGCCGTCTTTAGGTAACAGAATCATTTCTGAGCGCTAGAGTTATCATCCGGGTTGGTCATGAAATGGTTTTGTAGCACAGACGCGCTCTCAGGCGTGTTGAGGATGCCAGCCCATTTGCCTCTCATCCAAATGCCGAAGACAGCTGTGTCTTCGTGTTCCTGGGTCTGTTTTTAATAGTAGTTGCTGTCTCTCGCTGTCTGTGGTCTTGTCCCTTTCTAGTCTACGTCCTTTCTTTCGTGGGCCTCTCTGCTCTCTTGTTTTTCTTCTTCTGAGTTTGCAGTGGGTCCCAGTGTCCAGAAAACCCAGCTTTAGAACCGTTCCTGCTGAGAGCGTCCTGACGGAGGGCTGGGGGGGATTTCCGGGAGTGTTAGTACGCGGTTTTTTTGTTTGTTTGTTTGTTTGTTTTTAATTTTTGGGGGGAACAGTGTGTTTTTCCAAGACCCATCAGCTCCAATTCAAGTAGTTGTTTCAATCTAGTTGTGGAGGGTGCATCTCAGTGGCTCATGTGGGGATCAAACCGGCAGCCTTGGTGTTATGAGCACTGCGCTCTAACCACCTGAGCCAACCAGCCGCCCCAGTACGCGGTTTTTGCCAAGCAGGTTTGGGTCACCGTTTTTCTCTTGCTCTGTATCGGGCAGGTGGGGTTGTTGGATGGCGGGGCCGGAGGCCAGGCTGGGTGAGGTGATGTGGTGTCTTTTCATGAGCGTCGTTCCCTGGCAGTCTGTGATTTAGGACCACGCCAGATCTTTGCCATTCCCTTGCTTGGTCCTGGTATAAAGGTGAGGAAAGACATGCAGCCTCATCTGTGGGTAGGACAGAGACCTGGCATGTTCCTCATTCTGTCCCCTTGCTCTGTTATGTTGCTCTTTATTCCTGATCACGCCATCTGTATAATAGATTCCACAACGCCAGGGAACCTGGGGAGATAATTTTTCTTTTCAATTGTTCGGCTGGAGCAAGTCCTTGGTGAGGTATCTTTCCTTGTGAGCTCCTTATGCTGGTGGCGGTTCTCCCCTCACCGCCTGCTCCCCCCTTCAGCTTCCTTCCCTGATTAATTACCTTTGGGTTTCTCTTCGGTAGGAGCTGGTGGTGATGGGCGCCCCAGGCTCATTTTATTGGGCTGGGACGGTCAAAGTGCTGAACCTCACGGACAACACCTACTTCAAACTGAATGATGACACGATCATGAACAGGCGGTACACTTACCTGGGTGAGTAGCTCAGGGAGGTGACAGGTAAGAAAGGGGACATGGGCGTGATCGCCACCAAGTTCATGAATTATTGCTTTGCTGGTGGAACACAGAGTGTGTTGGCTTTTCCATCTATTGTTCTAATGAGTTATACTTTTAGCTAGGGCACCTTAACATCAAGCCCCACCCACAGAGGGGAACCAAGGAGGGGACTGAATGAAAACTGTGTGATTTAATTAAAAAGCTGACAGTTGAATGGCCAGGGGAGCAAACATTTTGGTTTCTTAGTTTAGCAATTACTCAAGCTCAGATGATCAGATACAAAGTGACTGGAACAGAATCCTGGTTTTCCACAGCTTTCCTTTGGACGAGGTCCCTGCTTCCTGGTCCCAAAACTGGTTGCAAATAGAAATAATAAGAACCAGAAATGATCATGACGGATGGCAGCCTAATGCTGACGTTTAATTAAAGGCTTAGAAACTTTTCCCTTCTTTTCTCAGCCCTTTTAATCTTCTGGAGAGGAGGTAGACACAGCGTAAGTTAGCAGCCATCAGGCAAGACCGTGCCAATTTAAGAACAGGGATGGGCTGTCTTTGTGTACATGACAATTTTATTACATGGCTTTTCTTTAATTCATGCCCTAAATGCTGTAATTCTGGACTGCAAATGAAGCTAAATTTAGGAAGGTCTAATGATGAGAAAACAATGCTCTTTCACATGCATCACATGTAATTTAAACCTGGGGAGCGGGGTCCTTCCCCGTTTTCATAGAGATTCACTTGTGAGATGGCAGTAAGGAGTTGTCGACTTGCCGTTTCCCTGCTAACTGCAGGTCGTTTGCCTAATGACATAGAGCATGAGAATTTTACTCAGCGTCCTTGCGGTGTTGCTGCTCTGTGTTCACCCTAATGCCGTCATTTATTGAGCACTTACTCTGTGCGAGGCTCTGCCCATTTTTTCTTTTAATTCCTGAAAACAGCCTTGGGAGGTAGCTGTTTTTATTACCAACACTTTATAGGTAACGAAACTGAGATACAAAGACGTGATGTAACTAACTTGCCAGGGTCACATGACTTGTAAAGAGCAAAGTGAGGGTTTTCAACCTGTGGTTTCAGAGCCCAGGGTTTCTAAACGCTGACCTGCCTTCCCTGTGCTTGGAAACACCACCGAACACTCACCAGGCTGGGAGTACCTTGAAGGTGGGGCATTTGTCTCATGTTTCTGGGATTCAGTATAGTGCCTGGTGCATTGTTGGGGCTCAATGTATGTTTATTAGGTAATGAAAAGAAGGCAGAAGAGAGCCTGGTTTGGGTGGGACTTCAGGCTTTGGGTGGCTGGCTTCTCCCGACCTACAAAACAGAGGCCCTTCTCCGCTGCGGTCGCTGCAAGGCTCACTGACTTTGAAGTCACTCCCCGTGCTCTTGGGTAATGTGAACCTCCAGTCTGAGAGAAGTCAGCCATGGCGGTTCTACTCGGTAAATAAGAATTGATCCCAATATGGTGTCGTTGCAAAACCCGAACAGCTTATGATCATGTTAGGGCTTGAGGGTGATGACAGGGTTTGGGGAATATGTGGCCTCCTGGACAGGGTTCCTGCCAGCCGGAAGGGAGCTCCCAGCCTGCCAGCAAAGCTCTGAGCAACTGAAGGAAACATTTAGATTCAGCTCAGACAACCTTTTCCTCTCTTTCTAGATTCCTTTTGTACCCACGCATCTGCCCACCCACCCATCCATCCACCCATCCGCTGTCAGCTTCTTCCTGCCTTTGCTTAGGAGGGAGTCTGGCAGCATGGTTAAAAGCAGGGGATTTCGACACAGATTAGATTTGAATCTTGATGTGTGAGCTTGGGCATCTTGCTTAGCTACGTTTAGTTACCCAATTTCCACATCTGTAAGAAATAATCATACCTTCCTTCTAGAATTGGGAGATTCAAAGAGATGATGGCATCCGAAGACACGAGAATGTTCATAGCAGCTTGATTCATAATAACCCCAAACTGGAAACAACCCAAATGCCTAGCAACAGGAGAAAAAAAAAGATACGATGATGTAGTCATTTAACGAAACATTAGTCAACAATAAAAAGGAAATAGTACCCTTAACGACATGGATGAATGTCACAGATGTTGTGTTGAGTGAAGTTCTAGATCAGGCGAACCTAATGTATAGTGACAGGATTCAGAATAGCGGCTACCGACCTGTGGGGAGTATTGACTGGGAAAGGACCTGAGGGAGCGAACCTTCAGGTTTATGGTTCTACGGTTCTATTCACTCTGGGTGGTGATTGCATGGTTATGTACATGTGTACACACTCATTAAATTCTACACCTCAGATGTCTGTGCTTTAGTGTATGAAAATTCAAAACGTATAAAAATTCAAAATGTATCAAAACAAAGAAGAAGATAGAGTATTTAGCATAGTACCTGTTGCCAAGAGGACGCTCAGAATCCATTCTTTCCTGCGCTAATGTCTTTGTGAACATGTCGTCATGTGAGATAAGCCATTCCAGCATGAGAAGACTGACCGCTGCTGTTTGTTCCCTGGTACTTTATGTTCCAAGGATAGTGGAATCGTAACTATCTGTTGGGTCGTCAGGAAAGTCATGACGCATTTTTGCATAGAAAACATAGAAAAAATACGTCATGACTTTTCCTGACGACCCAATAGATAGGGATGCTTGAGAAACTTTTTCCTCTGATGGAGCCTTTTCTTCCTGGCCCTTCTTTCTCAACCCCATGCTTGGTTTCTGCCTGTCTTTTCCAGGCTATGCAGTTACCGCCGGCCACTTCTCTCATATGTCCACCACCGATGTGGTGGGAGGTGCCCCACAGGATGAAGGCATCGGAAAGGTGAGGGGAAGAGTCCGTGGAATAATGTGGGGTCAGACAGAAGGGGGGAGCCTGCTGCCACTGTCATAGAGGTTTGTCATCTCACTTTGATCTGAACATGCTGCTGGGTGGCTGGCAGGCAAGTGATGAAATTTTGAGGGACCCTCTGTCTCCTCCCAACCACTTTGGAGAGTTGACCTTGAAAGCTTAACCAGAGTGTGGATACTACTCCTAGATCGCTCCATTTTCTGCACATTGGCATCTGAGAATGTTTTTCATAGCTGATACACTGTGTGTGTGTGTGTGAGAGAGAGCGAGAGAGCGAGAGAGAGAGAGAGAGAGAGAGAGAGAGAGACAGACCCCTGGCACCATGACATCCTCCAAAGCAATGGTGTCCAGCACTATTTAACTTCAAATCTACTCTTTCAAACCTTTTCCAAGCATCACTTTTTTAACGGAGCCAGGTCTAGTCCCAGTACCTTTGGGGATTTATTTGTCTTTAGGCCTAGATTCTTTATTTCTCCAATGTTTTAGAACCAAGACTGATTCAGCCCAAAGGCTAGACTGAGAAAATATGAGTCACTTTCCCTGAAGCATCTGCACAGAGTATGGAGAAGACCTCATGGATCTGCGCTGTCTGCGTTCCTTTGGAATCATAGCCTCTGTGGGGCCTGGAGCATGGAGATCTATGCTTGTTGGTTCTTTAGCAACCCAGATTGAATAGGTCCAGATGAGTCAGAATCTGCATTTTCTTAAAAAGAAAGATTTTATTGGGGAATTGGGGAAGGGGAACGGTGTTGGGGAATTGGGGAAGGGGAACAGCCGAGTTTTTGTCCTTCAGTCTCAGTTGTGGAGGGTGCAGCTAGCTCAGCTCCAAGTCCAGTCGCCGTACAGCCGCCTATCAGCAGCTCACGGCTGCTCAGCTCAAGGTGCCGTGTTCAATCTTAGTTGCGGGGGGGCACAGCCCATTATCCCATGTGAGAGTTGAACCGGAAACCTTGTTGCTGAGCGCGCACGCTTTAACCACTGAGCCATCTGGCCACCCAGAATCTGTATTTTTAATAATAAGCTCTGTAGGTTCTGTGATAGGAAAGACAGAACAGAGGAATGATATTTGGATCTGAGCCCAGGGGGTGGACCTAGGATAGAGTCTAGCCATATCTCCAGGGGCTTGGAGAAGTGGGGTGTGGATTCTGGAGGGACCCAGATGGGCTGAGACCACTGTTAATTGGAACCCTCAGCCAGGATGTTAGTATGACCAGCTGACTAGGCTTGACTTCTGCCATGTGTTTGTGAGGGTCATTTTCCTGGGTCCTCCTGGGCCGGAGTTAGGAGCTACTGCGCACTTGGCTGGAGCATGTGCCCCGCTCTCTCCTAACACTGAGACTGTGAAGAGAGGCTCTTTGAAAGTGAAACCAGAGAAAAACCCAGAGTACTAAGGAAGGGGAGGCACGCAGATGAACTCTGATGATTTCAAGAAAGATTGTGGGTCTGTCTGAGTCACATGAATTCCTCTAAATGGTGGAGGGAAGACGTGCCAAGAGCTGTCCCCACGTTGATAATGTCTTCCGGGGGTGGGGGAGTGGGGAGCTGCAGGCAGGAGCCCGCCATCTCTGCAGCGTTGGTCAAAATGCTCATTTCCTAGCTCACAGCCATGCGGATGCCTCAGGGCTGACGACAGCCGCTTTCCTTTCTCGCCTATTGCCGAAAACTTGATCTGATTTCACTGTTTTCTCTTTCGTTGGCTGTGATAACTGCATAGGCCCTGTCAAGTCTTAAGATGAGAATGGGATTTATAACTGATAGAGCCACGTAGAGAGAATCCTGGATCCAGTTAACAAAAAAAGAGCATTAAAATGCTGTTTTCAGTTGGATCACATGAAAAAGGCACTGGGTTAACCAGTCATAATTGACCAACTTGCTGACTGTTCCAAATTCCCAGGGGGTGGGGTCTGGTACAGACCTGATTCCCAAGGACCCCAGAATAAACCTCTTGCCTTCAGGATTTGGCTGGTTATTGGTTTCTGGTGTCAGGGCACAAAAGCATCCACACTAAGATGGCGGTTCCTTGCCCAATGGCAGAGCTCCCTATCCTGGTTCTCGTGGGACACTCTTCCCATAGGATGCAATTTGGAAAAGAACTTCCATAGTCATGCCATTTAGGAAGTTCTTCACCAATGACCTTCTTTGTGGTGGAGATTCAGGGCATAAACATGCAGATTAAGGCTCTGAAGAGTCCCACAGTAAAAGAATTTATATAATGTGTAACTCTGGTATTTCCCAAACTAAATTCATATTTACCCCAGCAGAGTTCATGGCTCTAATGTTCTGTGGAGTCATGTTGGATAATGGCTTTGTCAAAAATACCTCCCTCACTCTGTCTTATCTTGACATACCTGCTCAAGCTCTAACTAATAGGAATGAAGGACATATTTTTCAAACAAAAAAATACTGTTTCCAAGAGTTGAATTGTAGACTAGTAATTTGGAAGCTCCTTGGGTCCCATTGTGCATGGCTTCCATCAGTGACATGGCTCAGGCGCAGTGGAGGTGATTTCTGCCTCAGGATGGAAGGACATTTTCTTTGCAGAGTTGATAAAATGAGAGGTATGCTGACTTCACGATCGTCAGCCAGCGTAAGCACACCTGCCCTGTGGCAGGCCAGGCACTGAAATAGGACTCCCAGGACGATGTTGATAAATATCTTTGGTCATTGCGTCCATCTTACCTGGGTTTTTTTTTTTCATTCCATAGGTTTATATTTTTAGAGCTGACCGAAGATCAGGCACCTTAATTAAGATTTTCCAGGCATCAGGTAAAAAGGTGAGATTCTTGGTATAAAAGTCTTTTTGTTGTTTGAGAGATGTCACCACGTGGAATCAGTTTTCACTTTTTCAAAATTGGTTTAAAGGCCCTATCTGTGCCCTGAGTGTCCATGGCCGTCCTACTGCCTGTTGGTTCCTTTACTTTCCCAGCAGTGTGCAACCTGAAAATTCAAGGGAGTCATGCTTGCTGCAGGACACATGCAGCAAGATGAGCTTGTACGTGGCCAAATTCCAGCACAGAGCTTTCCAAGGTTGTCCACAGTTCAGACACTGTCTTCAGAATTACTGCACGCTGCTTGTCCCTGCCTCTGTCCCTCTCCATCTGTCCGCCTTTGTCTCATACAGACACATCTACACCTCCAGAGAGATCACAGACAGTTGAGTACAGGTAGCAATCCCATGATATAGAACCCATTACTTTCAAAGGAGGCACATAGACAGTTCCCGCTCTCCTTATCTCACCAATGCAGTGCTGCTGCCTCCTCCTCGCGTCCTGAGCCCTCCCCCACTATTGCCACGGGGAGTGTTGTCACGCAAAGAAAAACCAAACAAAATCACCCATTTATTTCCCTTTAGAACCTTGAAATGGAAATAGCTCGGGAAGGCTGCCGTCACGGGCAAGGTTTATTTGCCTGTGTGGTCTTGTGGCCCTCACCCTAATCCTAATTCCTGCAAATTTCTGATCTTAATTCCTATTAATACTGCACCACAGTCTGGAGGTTCCTTTGATTAATACATACGGGCTTATTAGCCAGGCACACCTCATGTGGCTTAGCTCAGCAGGGTTGCTTAGTGTGTTTGGATGCTTGAAGGGGACCCAAATTCAGGCTGGGAGATGAGATCGGTAGTTCAGAGGCTTGTGTTGGTAGTTCAGAGGCCTTAGTGAGCTCTAGGAAGAAGCACAGGACACCTGGGACTTGGAAAGGAGATGGCAGGAGATAGGAGAAGGTCAGATGGTGATTTTACCTAACCACTACCCTGAGGAAAGGGGGAAAAAAAATTGCTTCCTTTCTCGGTGGTCACGTGTCCTAGCCACAGTTCAGTTCCTGCTGTCAGTCAGACCTGCTGCACACAGCCTGGCATCATTACATGGTGTTTTGATGGTGAATCCTATTCTGAGTCCCATAAATTCCACTCCCTTTTTGCAGTTTTAACAACCTTAATGTATAGACTCCGTAGATAATTGTCATCTTTTCAACAACAAAAATGCATCACCAAACTTGGTTTTGTGAAGTTTTCCCTGAGAACAGCCCTGTGTTCCCCTGAGAACTGGGCTGGCCTGTTATTTTAACATTTCCAAACTCCAAAGCAGCAACACTGGAAAATGACTATGAGTGATTCTGCAGAAAAGGTTTTCCAAGTTGCCTACAGATAGAAAAGATATAACTCGATGTCATTTGTGATTAAAAAAAAAAATAAAAGAGCCCCAAAGAGCAAGTAGGGTATGAATGCTGCTAAGCCTGACATTTTAGATCTTTCTCCAGAAAATAATCGATGGGTGAGTATGTCTACTGTGGAAAACGAAAACCTCCTCTGCTTTCCTTCAAGTGCATCTGAGCCTGAAAGCATAACATTAAAGGATTCTTCCCCTTGTCCCCCCAATTTATGGGGATATAATTTATATCTAACATTGTGTACATTTAAGGTGTATAGCAGGATCATTTGATAATTTGATATACATATACAGAGGGTGCCAAAAACGTATACACATTTTAAGAAAGGAAAACTGTATTAAAATAGTAATAATATATACCGATAACAAAAGATGACTACAAGTCATGTTTGACTTCTGCAATTACAAGAGGTGCTCAAAGTGGTTACCATCAGCGTCCAGACACTTCTGATTACGGCGAACTGCTTGAGGAACATTGACCAAGTGTCCACTTGTATACATTTTTTTGGCACCCTGGGTGTGTGTGTGTGTGTATTTGTATGTACGTGTGTGTGTACACACACACACACACACACACACACACACACACACACACACACACACATACGTATTTATAGTGAAATGATTACCACAATAAGGTTAGTTAACACATCCATCACCTCACGTAACTAGTTTTTTTTAAAGTGATTTGTGGTGCTTGAACATACCTGTCACCCTCCTTTCAGAATATTTCCATGTGTATCGGTAGCTGTGCCTCCTTACCTGCTTCCTCTGTCCCCGCTCCACTCCCCACGAGAGATCCGGTAATGCCTGCCATCCTGGCATAATTAGCAGTCTGTAATTGTGCTCTCTCTCCTTCTCAGAAACCTCCTGGTTTGGATAACTTCCATGGCCACCCATCTATGACTGGGTCATGGTCAGGTTTTGAGGGGTAGATTTGAGAGTGGGTAAAACGAGAGGTTAACATTTGAGAACCCACTTGTCCAAACTTCCTTGGACTTTGTGCAATCGAGGTCCAGGACTCGCTTACTTGTCTGCTTCAGTGTCCTTAAGACAGGATGTGTCCAGTCTTCCAGAGGAGGGGATTAAAGAGCCCAGATATTTCCCCTCCCAGCTCCAGAGCCATGCTGCTGCTCATTTCCTTGGGGGGCTTTTCTTGTCCTTACCTGGTACCATTCTAGAGTTACTCCTTCATTCTGCCACTCTTGCCCTCTCGGTGCACTGTCTTCTAGCTTTATCCCATCTTCACCTTTGTGATTTTGAAATAGACCATTACTCTCTACATCGTATTCTGCTTTTTGCCGGAAGACATGAGAAATCCTTGTCTCTCTGACTGGTCCATTATTTCATAGGGAGAGAACATGACCCCGAGCTTTCGAAGGATGCATTTAGCTTTACCCTGTGTCCAGAGTCACACACACAGAGGAGGGTTCTGACTCAGTAAACCACGAGTCCACTTCTGCTTTTGTTTGGCCACAATTTGGTCCCATAACTCTGTTTCATGGCCTCACCATAACCAACCAACCAACCAAGAAAACCCAGTCTAGTATTTATTGGTTGACATCCTTCATAGACACATAAGAAATCACCAATATGTATGCAGTTCAGATGTTAATAGAGACACAAATGCCTGCATTTCCAGGGTGACGGGTGAGCTCTGAGGAAGGAACGCTCATCCCAAAGCATGTCATGGCCATGTTGAAGTTTTATTGCGTTACCTGAGTGTGTGGCACATCAGTACGTAGATAGAAAAACTTCATGTGCAAGGATTTTTGGTTTAATGCTGACAACAATACCAAGTCCAATAGCCCATTGGAATGAAACAAAGAGTTCCCTGGGGCTAAGACAGATAACAGCTGGCAGCTTCAAGTGCTTGCCTGGGTCTTAGTTTTTAACTAACGTCCAGATGGGGGAGATCGGCAGGGCCATTGAATTAGTGACTGGCAACCGGTGTGTGTCCCCTCTGCCTCCTGTGATTCTAAACCTTCGCTGTGCTCCACTCCCTTGGGAATGGAGGGGTTGGAAGAGGGTGTGGGTTGAGTGGAAGTGGCCTTGGCATATGACTGGGGACAGACTTCTGAGTCGCCCTGTCTCAGGCCTGGCTGCAGGAAATGGTCGGGAGTGCCCTCCGCCTGTGTCATACTCCCTGGGGTTAGCTGCCAATATACTCTAACAATGAAAGAAAATCCTTGTTCATGTTGATGAAAAAACAGAGCCCTTTTATTTGAAAACATTTCTTTTAAAAGTATAACTTTTTTTTTTATCAGCGGTTGTAAACTGGCAGACTTTGGAAAGGATACAGACTGCAGAAATTTTTCTTTGTCCTGCACATTATGTTTGTTTTAATTTTTAATATGACTCTGTTGCTGTCATTTTAAAAATAGGCCCTTCAAAGAAAATTTTAGATTTTTTGGCTTCTCTTGAGGAACGGGAAGGTTGGCTTTCCCTGGGCCGGCCTTCCTCGTCACAGCAGTTGACTCGCCCTGGGTAGGAGCGGCTCCTTTAGCTGGGTGCCAGTCTCCAGCACTCCCTATTGCTTCTTACTGAAGTGATGCCAAGCATCGCTTGCCGCTTGTAAGCATACTTGCATTATTTGTCTTTTCTTATACCTGCTATATCACCTGCCTGGGTCCCATTGACATTTGGGTTTGAGGCCCCTAATGTAAAATAATAGGTCCTGGATTAAGCTATCATTAAAGAAGAGCCTGTGTAACCTGGCTGTGTTCCCTCGTCTGTCAAGCCGTCTTATGAGTTCCACCTTTTTCTGTCACCTCAGCTCATGCCTTCCTAAACAATCTTCAGCTATGCCTAGGACTGGGAGAGGGTATCCTGTTCCCCATGTAGCATTTATTTCCATGCCCGCCTTGTGTTGTGGAATTTTATATTCCTACTTGCTTGGCCTTGTCAAATGTCTGACTTAACGAGGCACTTTTATTACGGTTGTAACCTATATTTGCAACCTCAACTTGTATTTTTGAAAACAGTGCCTTATTCTCCGGGGATGGGTCCATTTGTTTTCCCCTTGGTAAAGCTCTGGAAAAGGGGGTTCTGAGCTGGTTAGCTCTGGTCTCACATTGACTGGGGGCTCTGCATCACTGCTGGGAAGGGAAGTCAGGTATTTTACTGCTTCCCTAGGCATTCTGCCTTACGGGGCTAAGGGGCAAGGCCACTGTCACAGCCTCTGAGGGGCCTGGGGGCGAGTGTTTCTGAAGCCAGTGGGCTGGAGGTGAGCGAGGGCCTCCTGTGTGAGGGCAGACACTGAACGCTTTGTTGCAACTCGACTTGGTTGCAGATGGGCTCTTACTTCGGCTCCTCCTTATGTGCAGTTGACCTGAACGCAGACGGCCTCTCTGACCTGCTGGTGGGGGCCCCCATGTTTTCTGAGATCAGGGACGAGGGGCAGGTCACCGTCTACATCAACAGAGGAAACGTGAGTACAGTGCTGGGCGGCATGTGGACAGAGTGTGGGAGAGGGGCATTCATCCAGTGGGCATTGTCTGAGCATCCCTGTGTGCCATGCACTGGGCCCCATTGCCCAGGCAGCAGTGTCCTACCTGCAGAAAGGTCAATGTTCCATTCATGGAAAGCTGTATGCTATGTTATAACGGCAAACATACAGGGATCAAGAAAAATCTTAATGGCTGTGGTTTGAGAGCTTACCATGTAGCAGGCACTGTTTGTTCCTCCCTCTTTCTGTGAATTATTTCAATGCAGTGTGTACATGGTATCAGGGGCCCCCGTTTTTTCAGGTGAAAAAAACTGAGGCTCAGAGAGGTTAAGCAACCTGCCCCAAATCACACAGCTAAGAAGTGATGGGGCTGGGATTTGAACGTAGGGAAGCTGGCTTCAGAGCTGGCTTGCTTCACCTCTAGGCTGTGTTGTCTTTCTGGTCGTATAGACACACCTGTCCAGGGAAGCAGAGAAGACTTCAATGGCTGGAAGGAACCTTGAAGGAATAGGAATTAGGCAGACAGGCAAGAGTGGCTGGGAGCCGGGCAATTGGGTTGAGATATTAGCAGCAGGAGCACTTAGCTTACCATGGGGGTTGGGTGGGGGCAATGCAGTGGACAAGGGCCATAATCACAATGCCCCTTACTCTGCAGCATCGTGAAAGGGATGGGATGAGGTCAGAAAGGTGCCTCTGCCCCCGTTTCGCTGAGTGGAGGGTGGGCAGGGGCAGGCGGCAGGAGGCCAGTAAGAAAGAATCTTTTTCGGATCTGGAAGTAAGAATGTTCAACAGGAGGGAAATAGTTAAAGGAATAAATTCGGGTACCACAGCCTTTGAGCTAACATGAGAAAATGCTTATGAGATAATCAGTGAAAAGGCAGGATAAAAACTGCGTACACAAACAACCTTTAAAAATACACAGAATACACAGGGAATGTTAATAACAGATCTCCCTGGGTGGTGGTGCTCGGGTAGAGTTTTGGTTTTATCTTTATCCAAATAGTAAGAATGTAATACTTCATAATCAAAAAAACCAGTGAAAGAGTACTTTTCTTGCAGTGACCAAGGTGCTAGTTATCCCAATTGGGAGGGGGCCGTGGTGTTCAACCACCACCAGGTGGGCCAGAAAGGACAGCCATGGAAAGAGGAGTCAGGTGACATTAGAGCCTTGGACTTTGCTGGATGTTTGCAAACTCTGGGAGGTGGATCTAAACCTGGGAGGGAAGATGCTTCCTGGTACCCGTTTCAGCGTCTTTGGGCACCTGCGTCCCCACTGACATTCACGGAAGGGGGACAGGGACAGCACGGGGAGAAACGAGGAGATCATTATGAAGAGAGAACAGCAGGCACTCGGCAGCTGCCAGCCGCACTGTTTGCAGGAGACTGAAACGTTTGCGTGGGTGGGTTAACTTGTCTGAGGCAATATGGTGACCAGACCAATAGCCAGACGATGTGTCTGAATCTGGGTGTGGACACAGAGTAGGATAATTCCCCAGACTCTCTCTGGGCACATTTTACCCACACATCTCAGCCCCTCAGCCAATGTTTCTTAATGCCATGTGCTCACCCTCGATACCAGGGGACTCTTAATTCTGTCCAGCCTCTTCCTATTTGATTAGTGGTTGCAAAGCAGTGTGAAAAGGAGTTTGGAAAAAACGATGACTCAGGTGCTAGATAGACCTGCCTTTGAATCTTGGTTTTGTCGCTTACTAGCCTGTGGCACGTGGACAAAGAGCTTAAAGTTGGTGGCTCAGTTTCCTCGTCTGTGAAGTGGGGAGAGTCACAAGGCTTTCCTTACAGAGTCAGTGTGTGATTGAAATGAGGAGCTGGACATACAGTGCCTGGTACATACAAGAAATCACTTACTGGTGCTTCTTCTGTCCACCGTACTAATAGGAAGAAATCATTACATATTTCTGTTGTGGGGTGGGGGTTTCATGGACTTAAGAAATCATCACATGTTTACTGTTTCCAACTTGCAAGTTGTGTGTGTTTAGAGTGAAAAAAGATTTGGTCATGACAAAAGCCAGATGCTCCCTGGGATGGTCTGTGGGTGTATAGTGGGTCCGGAGTATGTCTACACTGGGGCAGGGTCAGCCACTCCTGTGTCCCAAACCATCAGGTTGCATCTTAACACTCTGATATTCACATAGCAATGATTTGGGAATAGAGTGGATATCCTCAGATGGCTTTTATTACCACCGTCACCATCAACCTCCTCCCTCTGTTGGTTGGGGTTTGCTCAGGACATCCGAACCACGGCTGATAATAGGCACCATTGTGGGCATCCCCACCCCCACCCCCACCAGCAACTACTGGGTGTTGGGTGTTCAGAACCATGACTCCCTCTCTCAAGATTACTAATACACGCACTTGGCAGAACAGCTTTACAAACGTGTCCCAAAAAGCAGGAGAGAAAAATAGAAGTTGTATTCCTGTTTAAAACAACTGTGGAGCAAAACTGCTACGCCCGCCAGAAAGCTGAGAGGATCCTGTGGGGACAGGTAGGTGGGTTTGATTATAGAGCAGTAGGACAAGGGAGAGATTTAGTTATTTCCAACATGAGATTCTTCTTCCCAGTAAAAGGCGTCTCAGGCTGTTGGAGACCCTCACACTGCCCCAGGTCCAAAGGACTCATCTTGTCACCAGGAGGGAGCGGTGTGGGTGCCTGTGATTCCTTCCAGGTGTTTCCTGTCCATGAATGTGCACTAGAGGGGCGGTGCTGCTAGCTCTGGTTATTTATTGTGTTTTTGGTTTGTTCTGTTTTGTTTTGTTTTCCATTTTTCCCTCCATCCTGTTTTCCCAGGGGGCCCTGGAGGAGCAGCTGGCCCTGAATGGGGATGGCGCCTACAACGCACATTTTGGGGAGAGCATCGCCAGCCTGGGTGACCTTGACGATGACGGGTTCCCAGGTCAGTGAGCTTGTGCCTGCCCTCTAACTCTGCCCTCGCGTGATGTGCTCCTGGCTCTCCCTGTCTGCTTGGAAGGTCCGTCACTGCAGGAGGGAGGACGCCCTTTTGAGAACATGCTCTCTGTGTAGACACTCAGGGCTGAGCTCTGAGCGCCCTGGAGTGTGTTTCTGTGTCATCCCTTCTCATCAGCTCAGTGTAACTGGGGTGCAAGTGAACCTTGGGGTTGGTCCCCTGGGGCTTCTTATGGCAGAGAAGTTCAAAATAAGTGAGGAGAGAATTTAGCACTCTCCCCTGATAGTGACAGCCTGCAGGACTGACTGACAATTGAATATGTAAGTGTTGGGGTTCGGGGTACGGAGGGGGCACACCTAATGGCTTGGCTTCTCTTTCTGGCTTTTTAAATACCTCCTCCCCTCCCTGTATACAGAGTGTTCAGACATCAGGGTCTGTGGAAGCCATGTCACTGGGGGGATGGCTGATGTGGAACACGGGCCGGCGGGGAGGGGCAGCTCTTGCCTCAGGCCAGGCATCCAGGCCCCTTTGATACCCTCACACCACTTGCCTGAAAGGGCTTCACTTGGAGGGGGGAGACCTCCACTGGAGGTCATGTGGGTGCCTGCCCCCTCACCTTTGACCTCACTTCTGCAGACACATGACTTTTGTTAGAAGCAAAGAGAGAAAAGTAAGGACGATCTAGGCCTTGTTCCAGGAGTTGTGAGAGTAATGTTGATTTTTTTTTGTGGAGTGAATGCCATTTTATATAATTTCCTGACCCAGGAATAGCGTTGACTTTCTCAGTTGATGGATAACCATCGTCTATGGAATTCCCCTCTCTGAGGGACAGAAACGAGGGCAGGAGGTTTATATTCATTTTATTGGATGGCTCAGTGATGTTTTTCCTAGAAGGATGAGCTAGAAGCTTTTCTGGAACTAAACTCTTTTCAGCTTCTAGAATTTTCTTTTTACTTTTTTTCCTTCTGAGAATTCATGTGCCTAAGTTGATGCTTGAACAACCAGCAACCAAGAAATTCCTGTTATGGAGGGATTCACACATGATGGCAGGAATTAGGGAATCGGCCCTTATGTTATTCTGTGTGGCTTTTCTAAACCATAGCTGTTTCTCTCCCCTTAGATGTGGCCATTGGCGCACCCAAGGAAGACGACTTCTCGGGGGCAGTCTACATCTATCACGGTGACGCCGGTGGGATAGTCCCTCAGTACTCAATGGTAATTGGTGTGAGAGTGACATGGTAACTGTTTGTTCATACATTCGTTCAACAAACATGTAAGGATCCTTTTACTCTGCGCCACCTTCTGGGGTACAGAGGACCCTACAATGTTGTTCCTGCCTTTAGCCTTCCCACCCTCTAGTGAAAGACACAATTGCTATTGCTAATTAAATAGAAAAACTTATTTATATAGACTCCTGAGTTTGCTTACATTTAGGGATTCATTCTACCTACAGGAGATAATATCCAAATTCTTACCCAGATTTAGAGCTATTTATTTAAGAAGAAGCCTTTTTTTCTTTTGGTTTGTTTGTTTTTGGGATTACTCCTTTGTCAACCATCTGTGCTAAACCAAAGGAATATATTGTAAAATATAATCTAGAAAGATAGTGGTCCATGGAGGAAGGGCCTGAAAGTTATCACAGGGCCATTGTCACAATTGGCATTGAAACAAGGAGCTGGTTAAGCACTGGCCTTGTGCCCCAGACTTGGGAACATGGAAGTGGCGAGTTCTGCTTTTTGCCAGATCAGCGTGGTGTTCAGTCTTGCTGATGGCATCAAACCCAGTCCGTGGGAAAAAAGGAAGTCGTGCTCAACAGAAGCCTCATCAGGATATTTGTGGATCTCTGTGTGTCGAGCGGCACAGGCCTGTGTCTTTCTCCCAGTGGGTCAGTGACAAGGGACTGAGCACAGAGAAATTTCCCATCAGCAAATACTGACTTATCGAGCACTCATTTATGTGCTTACTACTTCCTACTCATGTTTACACTCATCACAAAGAGGCTGGCCTCTTATCTTGATTATTGCTAAGGAAACAAAAATTTTAACTGAGTCTTGTTCTTATAAAGTGTTCTATAAATGTTCTGTAAAATGAAATAGTAGTCGAGTTTCAAAACCTGTTCGTGCACTGAACTTTCTAGGTAAGAAAAAAAGTCTTTACAAGCTGGTTTTAAGAGGCAGTACGTAAATGTAGGTTCGGTTTATAGGTTCATAATGGTTCTTGCTGCAGATGTAAGTTGGCTAATGAAGGGGTGAGGGTTGTTGCCAGCAGAACTTCAGGTTCCCTCTGTGCTGGGGCTCAGCTCACTGACTCCAAGAGACTGATGGTGCTGAGAGCGCCAGCTCTGTCTCTTTCCTGCCTCTAATCCTCACAACAGCCCTGTGAGAAGGGCACCTTTAGTACCCACCTTTTATTTATGAGGTGACTAGGGTCCAGGGAGGTTAGTTAGCCTGCCCAAGGTCACCAGCCAGTAAGTGGCCATATGGTGATTGAAACTGCCCATCTGACTGCCAAACCTTTATTGGAACCATTGTCTTCAACACCGGAAAAAGGAACACTCAGGGGGGCTCAGTTGCAAAACTTAGGAATGTAGAAACTTCTTTTGGTGGGAGACATACACGCTCCAAGGGGCATTTGTTTCCAGAGATCATCCTCTTTTCATTAGAAATGAATAATTCATAGTGGGAGTAAACTCGGAGGTCACTCAGCTGCTGTGGCAGGAGGAAGAAGGCTTCAGGCACAGTTTGGGAGTCCCATCCATGTCACAAGGGCTTCTCCAGCCTGGGTCACGGCCACTGTTCCCAGTGCAATAAGCTAACAATTCTTCCACATTACTCTTTAACTCATTCCTCTTTCTCGAGTTCACCATGCAAAGTGTTGATTTTAAGATCCTTGTGTGCCTTTCTCAATTTGAGAGCCCCTTGGGCATGTCATGGCGGCTCCTGTGATCTTTCTCCTGACAAGCTGAACGTTATCCAGGGTGCCTCGTCTTTGGGCAGCCGCCGGGGTCACTCTCCATGCATCCTCCTGGAAGCTTGTTCCCGGACCTCGGAAGCTAATCACACAGGGAGGCAACCTGTGAGAGACCCCTGCTTCCCTTCCTCTCCAGTGTTTTGTTTGGTTGCTGGGTGGAACCCTGCAGGGAACTGAAGTATAGATTTTGTGGTTAGCCTGGAGTGTCTTCAGTAGGAAGCAGAGATCAGCAGCTGGACCCATCCTGCCTTTGTCAGCATGCAGGCTGCCTCGTTAGCTTTGACAAAGAGCAATGGTTTGGGGCTCTTTAAAAAAAAAAAAAAAGAAACAACTATGATTATACTTTTCCAAGCTGCTAATATGTATGTGATAAGGTCAGTGATTTAAAAGGGGGAAAAAAAAAATCCTTTCACGACAGATTCTTCAGGGCCCAGGTCTGGACAGAGCAGGCATTGTGTGGGTGAACTCGAGAAGGAAATCAGCAACAACCCTGGGCAAGAGAATCGCTTTTCTTTGGCCCGGATTAGTATTATTTCTACTGGATAAATCGTGAGATCAGAGTAAAGTTCTTACACATTGCTCTTTAACTGATTCCCCTTTTTCGAGTTGACTCTGCAAAGTGTTGATTTTAAGATCCTCGTGTGCCTTTCTCAATTTGAGAGCCCTCTGGGCATGTCGTGGCGGCTCCTGTGATCTTTCTCCTGCCACGGGGACACTGCATATAAACCTGGTCAAGCAGAGGCTTTCCAAGGCTCCTGGTTTTCATTTAGGGTTATTAGCACCAAGTCGACTTATCTTCCTGGCTTTATGGCATAATGGCCTGCAGATGTCTGTGGGATAACTTAAGCCTGCATCGCCACCCCCAGATGGACCACCCCTTCACTCTTTCCTCTTGTCCCAGCCACAGCATACCTTAGCAATGCAATCCTAGGGCACACTGCTGCTCGTGTTGATGGACCTGAGAGCCGAGATGGTCGGCTTCAACATGTGATTTTTAAGAAATACGCAGACACACATACATGTTTGTTTAGACAGAGCCATGTGGGGATGTGGGCTCTGCCAGTTAGCAAGAAACATTTTGGTAGTGTTTCCTACAGTGTTCTGATTTGTACTTTGATGCTTACACATTTCCTGTTAGATGGCTTCAGTGAAGATAGCAAGCGGAGGGGTTATTTGTAGTTATCGGCTGCTGGGGGCCGGGGAACGTCCCTGGCGTCTCCATCTGTAGATTCGATGGAAACTCCCCCTCCCCAGCCTCATGACTTCTCTGTGGGATGACTCAGTAAGGAAGAGCATGAGGACAAAGGCCAAAGTGAGCCCCTAGAGGTCTGTCAACCTGGTTTTGACGAGGATTTTGCTGCATGGCATGAAAACAAAAACGTTTCTCTTATCATCCACAATGAGGGCATTGCGGAGTAAGCCTCCCCAAGGAGACTGTCTAGATACAGGGAAGAAAGCGTAGGTCCAGTCCCAGAAGATGGGACTTTTCTGATTCAGGAAGGTCGATGTCCTTTTGAGGAACGGCGCCACACAAATGTTGATGTATGGTGAAGCCTGGTTGTAGAACAGATGTCCTTGAACCCATGTGGCATGTGTTAACATATGTTGACCTTAATGATGAATAAGAAGTAAGTATAGAGGCTGGTATGCCCCTTGATGGTAGGGCTGTGAACTCTGAATGGTTGGGTAAGAGCTGTCTTTTAGAGAAGAGGGTCAGCTTCAACTCCTTTTGGGGGGTTTCCTACAGTGTGTGGAAGGTTCAGGACCATGGGGGTTCTAGATTTACTGGGTAAAACAGTTTCGTCCTGTCAGTGAAGCTCAGAGATCTTCCAGTTGGCTTGATGGAGAGGTGGTTTCCATGTGGCCATCTTGACCATCTAGACGTGCTAATTGCCTGTCCGCTGAGGGAAAGACTCTAACGTGTGCCTCTCAGCAGAGGAGTATTACATATTGGGTACATATTTGGGTAGAGTGATATAACGGAAAACATGTCCTTATGATTTCAGCCAGCTGTATAGGTGTGAAAACAAAACCAGATCTTGGTTAGGAATGGAAGCTAAACTTTATCCATTTCAAACGCTTCCTTCAACATGTCAAGACATTAACACACTGGGTAGATTTTTCATTAACACTGAACTTAGAAAAAACTTTATGTAACATTGGGCTAAGCAAGTAATAATAAAGGAACGTGTTGCCTGCTAAAGACCCCCTGATCAAAGTAGGACTACATTTTTTTTTTCTTTCAGTAATGTCAAGACCAAGTGTCCTAGGGAGCTGGGCTAAAACAGTCACGGGGTCTTATTTGTGACTGCACTCCTTTCCGGTGACTCAATTTCCCTATTGTTTGTTTCAGAGGCTGTCAGGGCAGAAGATAAGTCCAGTTCTACGGATGTTTGGGCAGTCCATATCAGGAGGCATTGACATGGATGGAAACGGTTATCCTGGTAAGCTATTTTTCTTTAAAGGCAGATGAGATAAATGAAAAAAATGCCCAAAGCAGAACAATTTCCAGTCTGGTTAAGCAGTGGTTACATCTATTTAGGATTAGGAAAATTCACACAATAGAAGGCGGTGTTTTGTCTGGTGTTTGATTTTTAAGGTGAAAGTGTTGACATTTATCTTGGGTTTTAAAATGATCTACCTGGAGGGTGATTTTTACAGTGCTTTCTGTGGCGGCAAGTCTTTCTAATGACAAAAAAAAAAAAGCACTATCTGCATATAAAGCGATAAATAGTGAAAGCTCATGTTTTCCTTGATATTTAACCATATTCAGAAGCGTCTTACTCTTGAGAGGGGAAAAAGGAGCTAAACAGCACCCCGCTACCCCCCCCCCGCCAAACCCCACCACATGAAAATTATTGACAGAAAAATTTCAAGCAAAAACAAAACCGTGTCCTCTCACTGATGGGCGTAACAGAACTTCACCATTCAGGGCTGGCTGGCTTGTCTTCAGGGTTAATTAATTAACTCCTTGTGGTGGTTGAGGCTAATTAAATGAAAATATACGATTTCAAACCCCAATCCCAAGTGATATCTAGTCCAAATAAAATTAGGCGGTGGAATAGTGGTTCTTTTGGTGTTTGAAGGGGCTGGAGTGGGATAAGGTAAGGAAACAAACATAAGAATGTGAAAAAAAAATCCAAAATCATCATGGAATTCAGAAAAAAATTTCCCTCAAGCTATAGGTCATCTTGCTATCTTGAGAAAACATTTCTTTCCACTTAAAATGCCTCAGAAGGATCTGGGAAAACAAATGTAATTCTGGAGGGCACCAAATTCTGTAGTTTCTCACAGACAGAGGAGTTGTGATCATCCTTCATAACTTTACGGGGCCAGAAGGAGTATGACTAGAAAAGGGCCAGTGTGGAAGTTTCTGGCCCTGTAAAAAGACCCCTCATGGTCTTGTCCCGGACAATTTGTGGCCATCCCTAAATAATACCTTACATTGGCTTAGCATTTTAATATATGCAAAATGCTTCCACATGCAATGTACATATAGTAACCCCAGTAGGTAGGTGAAGACAGGGGTGTCGCCCCACTTTACAGCCAGGGACACTGAGCCTCAGATAACTTACAGAGACTGGCCAAAAACCATATCGTGGTAGACGAGGACCCAGGCTGCTTCTCTTATAAACGCACGATGTGAAGGTGTGTTCACACTTCGCCACGAATCTGAATTTATCTTGCATCTTTGATACAAGAAATGGCAGCTTCATCAGGTTGTTTTATTTTCAAAGATCCAGTCAATTCACAAAGACTGTTGGAAAATACCAAAATGAACAGGCACACCAAAGTGCAGAAGTTTTAGCAGCACCGACTGCAATTCACGGGTTTGCTCTTTGTGTTTTCTTAATGAGGGTGTTTATATAGACGTAGGGATTCATTCTCTTGGATTCAGTTGCTTGGTTCTGTGCAGTAGTAAGGGCTGAGGGGTTTCTATGAGAGGAGAAGAAAGACAGAGAGCTACTGGATGAGTGAATACTTCCTAAATTAGAGTTATTTCGACACCCCCAGCTAACGCTTGCGTCTTGGTTTGAAGTTTACCAAGTATTTTCAAGAATTTTCTTATTTAAATATCTGATTTAATGTATTACATTTAATGCATGTTTAAATATTTAAAAAATATCCTATTTAACAAATAATTAACATTTAACACATATGTCCTGATTTAAGTGTTATGACATATTATCAGCTTTTGAAGGAGACATGGGTGATTATGTCCATTGTACAGACGAGGACACTGAGCGACCCTGAGGTCATGTAGAGTAAGGAGTGAAGTGGAAATGATTCACCTGTTTTACAGACCTTGAGCTTTTTCCAAGAGTCATTTAATTCCAGGTACCCTTCTCTCTGATTCACTGATGTCCATAAGAAATATAATGCGAGCCTCATGTGTAATTTAAAATATTCTAGTAACCACATTAGAAAGATGAAAAGAAACAGGTGAAATTAATTTTAATAGTGTTTTATTTAGTTCAATATATCCGACATGTCATCATTGTAACATATAACCAATACAAAATTCTTAACGAGATAGCTAATGTTTTTTCATACTAGGTCTTTCAAATCGGTCTGTATGTTACACTCATAACACATCTCAGTTTAGACCAGCTACATTTCAAGGCCTCAACAGCTACATCTGGTGATTGGCTGCCATATGGGACAGTGTGGCTCCACCTCTTACAGAATCATCGTGTAGCCCAGAGGGTGGTTGTCAGAACCCCCAGACCTCAGGGCCCGGCCTCTATTGCTGTGGAGCACCTTTCCAGGGGGAGGATAGAATGGGGCTTCAACAGGTTTCTGAATGTGTATGTCTACCTCTGCTTTTCAGATGTGACTATCGGAGCCTTCATGTCCGACAGTGTTGTTCTTCTGAGGTGAGATGCTTCTCTCTTCTTGGATTACGTTCTTCCTGGGTGAGGGGTGGAATTTGGTGCCGAGCTACAGGGCAGTTACTCATCACTCATCAGCAATTCCTTCTGTTCTCTTCCTTCCTTGCAAGCGGAAGTGCTTAGTAAGTGGGAATGCTACCTTTGTTCTCCTTATTCTCTGTCTCAGCGTTTCTAGCTGCTGGGCCTCCAGTGGCTTACAGATGTGAGATGATAGCATCCCTGGAGCTTCTAGGCAGAATTTGGGGGGGGGATGGAGGGCTGAGCCCTAGGGGTTTTTTCTATGAACAACCCCTTTCGTTAATGTGCTATACACAGAATACCGTTTCCCATGGGTGCTATGACAAGGCAGTGTCCAAGAGGCTGGGAAGCACTGTCCTGTCCTATCCCTTTATCCCCACACCCTGCGTTCCCGCCTCATCAGCCCCCAGCGCCCCAGGGATGGGGAGCCTCTGCCTGTGGGCCAGTACTTTGTTCCCTGGTGGCAGCGGAGGTAAGGGACGTGAGCGTCGGCCCCAGTGCTTGCTGAAGCCCATGTAGTTTGGCTCTCTCCTACAAAGGCCAGTGGGCTGCCATCCCACCATGAACCATCTCCAAGTATTTCTGTCCGTATGAGTCAGAGGAGGCAGAATTACACTTTGGAGTGGGAGCCAACGCTTAGGTTTTGTTAATAACCTGATGGCAGAACGTTCTAAAATAGGCTAGTAGGAACTTAGAGCTGGAAGGGATCCCAGAGGCTGTGTCACTCCACACCCTAGATTCTTCTCATTCAGCAGTGCCTTTCTCCAAGGTTTTACTCCCAGGCCACACAGCCTCTTGAACGAAGTGCCCCCCTTGTGGGTGGGGGCTTCGTAGCGTCTTAGGGAACCAGTTAATCCCCAAGCGACTCAAAATACTAAATTGTTGAAGAGCCCAGTAGCTTTGAGGTTAAGAGTGTAAACTCTGGGGCCAGGTGGTCTGGCTTCTAGCCCTGACTCTACCCTTGGGAAGTGAGTTTCCTGGGCAAGCCTGCTAACCTCTCTTTCGGGAGTCTCATCTATTGAAGCAATAGTACTGACCTCACTGGATTCTTGTGAGAACTCAGTGAGTTAGTCCATGTAAAATGCATAGAACAGTGCCTGGTTTAAGTGCTCAATACATGCTAGCAATTTTTACATAACTTTGGTTAATTTTGCCTTCCTACAATTCTGCTTCTGGGCCCCCTATCTTCTACGTAGCAGCCCTTTGGGATTTGAAGGTGGTTAATTGGGTCTCCGTCATGGCCTAGCTGACAGGCAAGTTAGATTGACTTTAGGTAGAGTTACCTCAGGGCTTGGGTGGGGCCAGAAAAGAGAGGAGGGCCAGGAAACCGTGCATGTGCGTGCACTTAAAACGCACCATGCACGCTTGTCTGTAAGTGTCCTCCTGAGAGAGTCCAGAGGTGTGTGGGTTAGGGATGCCTTGGGCTGCAGCTAAGAGAACCTTATAACCAAGGGTGGAGTAGATGGCTCCAGGGCAGGTCTGGAAGGCTCGCGTCTTCACTGGCCGTGCAGGCGCTTTATCTGTCCACTCATTTCTGCCCTGTGAACAGCACTGACCCCCATAAAGGCCAGGGTCATTGGAGCAACACCACGTCAGAGGGCATGCTGACTGGTTTTATTATTCACTTGTGAACTATCACAAGTGAACTAGCAGGAGCTGAGCTGTCAGAGAGCCGTCCGAAACTGGTGTTTCAGCCACCAGTTTCTTTAAAGTAAAATCTTGGAAGCGTTTGCGGTACTGTCCTCAGATGCCCCTTTGCTTTTATCTCAGAGGCTGGTACATGTGCAGGTGGGACCATGAAACCCAGTCTCCCGCCCTTCCCAGGAGTGTGGGTTGGCCCAGCTCTGCCCTGAGGAAGTTTGTTCTCTCTGATTAACGCAGGAGGGCAGGTCCTGTGGTAGGGTGATAGGCATCTGGTATGATGCCACTGAAAGTCAAAGGAAGTGATCGGAGAGGCTTATGAAAGATTTCTGGGCTTTTCCTGGTCCAAAAACAATACTTGGAGTTGCAACAAAAAGGTTTGAGGGGACTGACCTGACGGATGTTGGAGGGAGATGTGCTTGCGAAGGTCCTTGTGTGTCATTTCAAAGGATTCCGTTTTAGCAACCTTCATCGTTTTGTCTGGACCGCTCACTTCTGTTTCCTGCTCGCCTCACCTTCTGCAGAGCTCTGCCGTGAGAGGAGGAACCGGGCGTGCTCCTGACGAGGTGGCCCCTGGGGGGACCGTAGGGGCTGGGCTTTTCTGATGGCCAGGCAGGACATGCACCGGGCAGGGTGGGGGCTCTCACAGGCTGGAGACCGGCTCTCCCTGGTACCCCTGTCTGTTTTGTGACATTTTGGGCACTGCTGTGGTTTTTGGTCCCTTGGCCTGGCATGAAGTTTGCCTCCATTGAACAAGGGTTTTTGAAAGCCTGCTGTCCCGGGAACATCAGGATCGATTCTCCAGGACCCCCGTCCTTGGGGGGACCCTGCAGGCTGGTGGGGCAGCTTTGGGAATAGACAGTGACCTTAATGAGTAAGTGAGGTGAGGTATGAACACTGAGACCACAGAGAAGAACGTGCAACTGCCAGGGGCACGAAGAAAGGCTTCTTGGGAGAGGGAACCCTTGGGTTGGCTGTTGAAGGGCAGTGAGGCTGGAGAGAGTGTCCACTGGTATCCGTACAATCGCCGTGACCAGGAGCAGAATATTTGTCTGTAACATCTTCTAAGAGGGCACCCAGGAGAAAATTGGAAGACAAGGACATGGGGCTTCTTTAAGACAGCTGCTGTTGTCTGACTTGCATTAGTCCTACGGCTGGATTTGTTCTGAGCGTCCCACCATTTCCCTGTACTTGTCCCAACGGTTCCTGTCTTGACCCACATCTCATGGCAGTGGGGGTAGCCATGAAATCCCCTAACCCCCTGTGTGTCGCGTGTCTCCTCGTTTCCTTTTTTTTTTCCTCTCTGAAGTTTTTCTTAATGCTTTCTTTTCTTAGAGTTGGTGTTGGTCATCGTCCCCATCTGCCTTGTCACCCTGGGCACTCTGAGAGAGATCACTGTACACAAGTGAGGTCATTGTTCTCAGGCCTCTAATGCCCCTTAATCTTGTTATGTCACCCCAGCGCACAAAGGCTGGGGCTCCTTAGAGGTAAAAGGGTCTCTTTGTGACGCCTGGAGGGGAAAAGGTTAAGCCACAGCTTAGGTGAACCGTCCCTGAGCAGATGTTTGCAATGTGAGCAGAATGGTGTGATTCACTCTAGGCTTTTGTCGGTGGCCTCAGGGGAGCTGCAACAAGGATGATGCCCTCCATCCATTGAGCACTGGGGGGAGGGGGGGGGCGTCCACCTTGGTGTTAAGAGTGGGGATGTTTATTGGGTTTCGCTTGGTCCCGAGGCTAGGTGGGTTGATTTCTGAAGTACTTTGCTCTTACCAGCTGGGACTCCATTAATCATGTTCTTTGGAAAAATACTAAATGAATTGACGGGAGTCAATGAAGGTGGAGGTTGGACCCACCCAGAGGGACTGGCACTTTGCAGTTCATGCGTGTCATGGCAGTAAACGCCGTGGGGTGGGGGAATCCTGATGGTGCACTTTGTTTCTCGAGTCATGGCATCCACTGTCAAACTCCTCTTAAATATATTCCTATCTTCCTCATAAAATGGAAATCGGAACTTAATTGGTGAAATTTCAAATAATCACTCGCCATCTGGTGGTACATTTACGGTTTCAACCAGATGTGTTTTGTTAACCACGCACTTGCTTTTATGGTTGGGAAGCTCACCATTAACTGATTAGGAAATAAGCTGAAAAAACAACAACAACAAAAGTCTTTACAGAGCACCCTGGCCCTTCTCTCTTGGGTTATTTCACACTTTAATTAAGTGCTGGGCCGCAGGCCAGCAGCCCTAGGATTTGTCCTGTCGCTTTCATCTGCGTTTGGTTCTGAGAGCTGCTCTTCAATATGACTAAGTCAGGTCACCTTCCTCTCTTGACCTGTAGGGCGAGACCCGTCATTACGGTGGACGTCTCCATCTTCCTCCCAGCCTCCATCAACATCACGGCGCCTCAGTGTCACGACGGACAGCAGCCTGTGAACTGCCTGAATGTCACCGTCTGCTTCAGCTTCCGTGGCAGGCACGTCCCCGGAGAAATTGGTAATGAGCCAGCAAGTCAGGGCTCTCAGCTGAAGTGGGCTTGTGGGGGTGCTGGGCAGCCAGGGGATGTTTCTGGAGTTTTGAAGGCAGCAGACCCACAGGCCAGGTGCTCTTTCCTTCTGAGCTTCCTCTTTTCATTCTGCCGACCATTGTTTCCCCAGTTTAACGCAACCTCTGGCTCTAGGACAAAGAATATTTTACCCCAAATATCCCTTGCCCAAATGTATGTGGACCAGACTAAAACCTCCCTGGGCCATGGGGTGGGGGGCAGGCCTGTGGACTTGTGGAAACATAGCGACTGGAGCCTGGCCTTCTAGAACGTTCTGTACAGTCAGAAAGCGATGGGACTTTGGAGGCTCCCCCGTGAGCTTGTAGCACCTCCAGATGCCAGCAGCTTATAGGCCCTTTCCTATGGAATTGGAGACCAAGGGTGGATGGTAGGGTTGGGATGCTGACTTTTACAAAGGCTTAGGATTCCAAAGGAGGGGGAGCTGCTTTGTCAGCTGTAGATGACGGCCAGTGGCAGCCGTCCCCGCTGTCTCTCTGACTGGGGAAGGCCGACTTGCCAGCCCAGCTCCCGAGACTGGATCAAGCCCCGGAACAAGCTAGGATCAGTGAGGATTAGGATTCAGAGTGTGTGATCACCCGAAGGAAATGAACGGCAGGCAGTTGTGCAGATTAATAGGTGCTTTGTTTTCACTTGAAAGGCTGACTTAATAACAGAAAGCAGAGTTTCAGGAAAATGAAAACAAATCCCCCCCCCCCAACCCTCCACTAATCAAGGACCTGGCCTCATTGACTTTCTTAGACATTTTTAGTGTCATGTGTGTCTCCTGTCCCTACTCACAGTGTTGTCCCTGGACCGGCAGCGCCAGCATCCTCTGGGAGCTTGTTAGAAAAGCAGACTCTCAGGCTGCAATTCTGCATCAGAACCTGTGTTTCAACAAGACCCCTGCAGGATGTGTGTGCAACGCTGAGTTTGAGAAGCGCTGCTCTGGTGCCCACATGTGTGCACACACAGCCATGCAGAAGCACATTTTCGTGTTAGTCCATTTCTCAGCAGCACCTGGAATATTTCACAATCTAATCCTTCTAGGCCAACTGTCTCATTGGCACTTTATCTTGACCTTCAGGTGGGTTGAAGAAGGTCCACAATTAAACCTTGTACTTTTTACTGTAGATTTTTCTAAAGTACTCCAAAATTTCAAAATCAAATGTAAATGTACCATGAACTTGGGACTTGGCTAGCGAGAGAGGGTGAACAAACTTTTTTTGTGAGCAGCCCAGTGAGAAAAAGATACTTGCTATGGGTGGCACCAGGTGTTGAATTCTGGTCTGCTGATGCTGAGCGTTGCATTCAGAAACCGTTTCTCAGCACAGCCCTAATTTTTAAGACACCACAGTCTCTAGGAAAAAATGTTTCAGATGGTCCTGGGACTCGTGTGTCCTCCGCCTGGTTACATGGTATGTCCTCTATCAACTACCAACTCATGAGGTAGTTGGGCTCCGTTAAAAACCATTTTTAAAATGGTTAAATTGAAGGTCAATTTTGGTGTGCATAAAAATAAGCAGAACTAGAACTCTTAAAAAAAAAACAATTGGGAGTTCACGTGTGTGTTCATGTGCAAATATTTATTGTGTGCCTACATGTGCCAGGCGTGTCCCAACAGAGCTGCTACTCAGAATTACAGACTTTCTACTATTTTGATCCTGAAGCAGTGTACACAACTTTCAGACTTGTTAACTACCTCACTGTTGTGGTGAAGGTAAATTAGTATAGCAGGAACAGAAGTGAAGGAACCAGGATGCAAGTTTTGAGCAAGATGTATTTCAGAGCACAAGACGATGGTGGAACAAACTCGGATTTCCGGGTTCAGGAGTTGAGCAAGGAGGATATGTGGGTGTCTCCTCATGCTGCTCCCAACCAGTGGCCCTTTTTTTGGCCCCAGTCAGTGGGGTCCCTTTCATTGGCCTCTAGGCAGAACTATAAGGAAAGTCTAGGCTTAGCCATGGCCCATGAAGTGTTGGGGTGTCAAGGAAGAGACAGACTGTTGGGTGACACATGTATAGTATGCGCTTCATGGGCAGAGGGGAGCGACCCAGCTAGTGTCCACATCAGGGTGGCGAACGCTGAACAGGGGCCCCTCCACTTGTCACATGGGTTCTTTGAAGGAGTCAAACATTCCTTTACAGTCGAAAGGGATGTTGTCCCACATTTATTTAAGATTCAGGCTTAAAGAGGATGGATGATAACTCGAAACTTTTGATATCAGTGGGGCATAGCAGAAAATTACCCAATACTAGCATTTTCTGTCTCTTCCCCTGGCACAAGGAAATCAGCTATATCTTAATCTTTGCAGTAAAGGGAGAGCTGCAGAAGTAATAATAATAATAGTAATAAAAAGGCAGTGGAATTACGGAGAGTGTGAGAATGGAAAGATGGGCAGCCATTGTGGAAATGTGATGGGAAACCAGGTGGTGGTGAAAGGTGGCTTGTCAGGTAGCTGCGTGAGTCCGGCTATGGCTGGGGTGTTTGGAGTTTGGTGTAGAAGGTAGTCTCTTGGCTCTGGACGATCAGGAAGGTCAGGTCCCCAGTTCCCAGTTGGAGGAGGAGTGGGGGGCACCGCCAGGGCATGGGCATCCCCCATTCTTCCAGGCCTGGCAGACGATGCTAGCCGACTCAGTGCCATCGTCCAGGCCTCTGCATTGGGGGCCCAGGGCTGTGACTCGTTCTCCTTGCTGGTGGCAGCAGATTTTCCATGGCGGTGGTGGTTTTGGGGATGGGTGCCTGGCAAATAGGTGTCCGCACATCCAGGGCTGAGTTTGTCAGCAGAATGGCTGCATTTAGGCAGTACAGCCTGCGCAGTGCAATAAAGAGGCGCCAGTGGTGTACTGGGTATTTCTGAATAGCTGTCAGAAGTGGTATCTTCAGTGGCATTAATCTACTGGCATCTTCAGCCACAGGCCCTCTCTGGGGATGGTTTGGGGGCCATAAACAGTTGATGTCATAGTCTTGTCTCTGGTTTCTTCGCTCCTTTGGGACCTCCAGCATATACACAGAGAAGGAACCACGGAGAAGGGGCTCCATTCGCCTCTTTATTTCCTGCTTTAGCAATGGAAAACCACAGCTCCCGCTTGATCACAGGAGTATTTAGGGCCAGCTGATTGCCAGCCTGCTTAAGGGGCTGCTGTGGCTTCTGGCAATACCGTGGGAGCTAGAGGTTTACCATAGGGGGCGACTCTTGCCTTGGCCCCTCAGGGCGGGTCCAGTCAGCAGAACAGAAAGCACATCAGTTACTTTAACAAACAGAAGTTAACGCTGGAAGTCGGTTAAGAAGGTCATAGAAGACCTGGTAGAAACTGCATCCAGCAGCCACTGCTTCTGGGTCTGCACCAGCTGTTGTTCCCAGACCAGGTGCAGCAGCACATGGGACCTTGTTAGAAATGCAAATTCTAACTGAATCAGAAACTCTGAGGGGGGGCGGGACCAGCAACCTGTGTTTTAACAAGCTTCCAGGTGGCTTCGATCTGAGACCCTTCAGTCAAGGGGAGCAGAGGGAAAAGGTTATACTTGGGTGAGCCACTTCTTTGGGGTTATCAGAACCTATAAGCAGGGAGAAGAGACCCTGCAGAGCTGGGACCTAAACCTCGAAGGAGGGGTCACTCATCGGCTGGTGCTGCTGGCATTTCTGAGGGGGTGCAGTGAGGCCGGCTCTGAGGGGGTGGGGAAACACTGAAACTAGAATCAACTGCTGTTGGAACCAGCTGCCATGAAAAACTGTTGCTGCATTAAGCTGATAGGCATGGGAGCAGACAGGCAGGAGCGCGGCCCTTCTCCTCCTCCGGCCTTGCAGCCTGCCTCAAGATCTCCATCTTGGCAGATTCACAGAGTTGCTGGCAAAGCAGAAATGAAGTTTGCAGAACCCCATCCCTGGCATCACAGAGCAGAGGAGGCTGGGTGTGGAGCTGAGACAACCGGCACAGCGAGGACCCAGCCCCATGGAGTTACTGAAGCGCCTGTTGGGTCATTCAACCAACAGATAGTTATTACGTTCTTACAAGTGCCAGACACGATGCTTGGTCCTGGGCACAGGGCAGAGAACAGGCCAGAGTGCTTGCGTTCATGGAGCTTGCCAGCTACGGGCAGGGAGGCAGGTGATCAAGACAAAGATAACCGGCGCTGCTGCTTCTGGATGTGTCTGAGTCCTTTTGTGTGGCAGGTCCTGTGCTCAGTGCCGGGGTGCGGACACAGCATCCAACGCTAACAGCCTCAAGACAGGTTTATGATATATTTCATCAAGCAAGAGTTCTGCCCATCCTGTCTCACTAATCACTCATCATTCTTGGCTTGGGGAGCAGTCTGTGGCTCCTTGGAGCCTCCTGGCTGCCATATGTAAGGGTGGTGAATGCTGTGCCTGTGAGGGCTCTGTCCCTGACCCGTGGGCGGGGTCTGCACCAATCTGCTGGCCAGGCTGAAGCCTACACGTGCCTGTCAATCTCTAGAGGCTGAGAATGGAGCTGCAGTTCTGGGCTCTCACCAGTGTGCTAGATAAATCCAGAAAGGGATGAGCCCTAAGTGGTTATGTTTTGTGCTTCCCCAGTTTCCATGGCTCTCGGTCAGCCTGACAAAGCTGTGAGTGAGCAGGGGCGCCTGCCCTGCTTTTGAACAAGCAGTTGAGCCCAGGTCCTGAGAGATGGTACCCAAGTCATTCAAGCCAAAAGCAGAAATAGGGTTGAAACCAAGTGACTTGTTCCCTGACCATTCCTGGGGCTTTGGGGGTGCATTTGTGTCCACGAGAGTGTTTGCACACAGAGAACATTCTCTGAGCTCCTTTTGGTCTCCTGAGAAGCATGGAGATGAGACAATGAGGCAAATCCATGCTATATGAGTAATATTAATTACTGGTCTGATAATGGCCACTCATTCTTTTTCTGGGGGCGGGGGGATAAAACTTAGGAAAGCTAGTAAAATGAAAATCTCCCTCCCCACCCCCACCTCCTGGGAAACTCTAAGGGAAGCTCGGAGTAACTCTGGAAGGAGAATTTATTAGCAAAATTTCACAGCTAAAACCCTGTTCTGACGGGGAAAGGGAATGAATCAGAACTCGCTGGGAGAGACCAGAGCCTGAGTTGATGCGAGACAGCTGGCTCCCTCCTGGCCCAGGCCGGTGTGGGGGGCCCTCAGTAACCAGCTGGGGGCAGGGACAGGAGGCGGCTGAAAGCATTACTTGGGGCTGATCAGCTTTTCCATCAACATGACATCATTCGCCATGGCGTGGACACAAGCTGCCAAAGGGAAAGCCTGAAGATGTGAGATGTGCTGTTGGAGCGGGCCCTAATCAGAACCAGCGCCCTCCCCGGGACGGGGCTGGCTGGGCTGGCTTGCATTACAGACGCCCTCCCACGGGGGCTCCAGCCACCTGAACCAAGGGAGCTGATTGGCTGCTTCTGCAGCATCCTTTCCCCTTCTTAGAGGCTCCCTTTCAGACATACTTGGGGTGGGTGCTGTTTAAAACTACCAGGTCTGCACTCCTTGCCACCCTGGCAGCCCCGAGACCCTCCTCACTCAGGCTGGGTTTCCCATCATAAGTCTCCGCGTGGCTGCTTTCGTCTAGAAGAGACTTTGATATGAAGCGGACTTCTTTTTGTGTAATTTAAAACGTCAAAGTAAATTTTAAATCAAGAAGAAGCACCAAGTAGGCAGTTCCAAAGATGAAAAGCTTCCAAAATGATTGCACTTGGTGAATTGGATAACATGGTCTGTCTGTGATTGTATACGTTAACATCTTAGGAAAGTCTGATAGGCGAACGTGTTTGGCATGTCCACGTTCTGCCTTGAGCAGGGCAGTGATTGTGGTCCTCAGCTCAGTTCCTAGTAACTGAGCTGTTTCTCCCCTTCCTTGAATTGCAAGGGGAATGTATTGGGTCAGCCATTCTTCAGTGAGATGGGGCTTAGGAAGACTGAAGCTGGTATTTGTAAAGTACCCAGCATAGAAGTTGGCACACGGTGAGGGTCCAATCCATTCCCTTTTCCTGACTTGCCCCGTCTTAATTTGGATTCTCCCAGAAGCGGAGCCTGAGTCAAACATTCAGGTGCACGGGGTTGCTTCAGGAGGTGATCGCCAAGAGGCACCAGTAGGAAAGCGGGATGGTGAGATAGGAAGGAAGGGAAGACAGCTGCATCAAGTCAGGGTTCTCCAGAGAAACAAAACAAGAGGATGTGTGCGTATGGATACTTCAGCTTGCAAGCAGCCTGGAAGCAGAATGCCTTCTTTTTGTGGGGACTTGAGTCTTTTTCTCTTTTGGTTTTCAACTGATTAGACGAGGCCCACCGCAGTATGGAGGATAATCTGCTTTATTCAAAGTGCACTGATTTAAGTGTCACGCTCATCTCAAAAATACTTTTTCAGTGACATCCAGATTGGTGTTTGACCAACTGTGTGGGTACTGTGGCCTAGTCCAATTGACACATAAAATAAAGCATCACAGCAGCCAATGAGAAGGTGTGTTACTGAGCAAGTTCCCTATGTGGGCAGCTGGAGCCGAATCCCGCGGGGGAACCCTGGGAGTCAGTGTGGGCCACCCCTCAGAGTCGCCCCACTCAAGGGACAAGGGAGCTGGGCTCATGCAGTATCGAGGGCTGCTCTGGGAACGAGTTCTCAGGTGTTTCTGGCCCAACATGCATGTGGACAGAGCCACCAGAGAAAGCCCTCGGGAAAGGGCTGGCAGATGCAAGTCGGGCTGGATAGCAGAGAAATGTTTCAAGTGCGGAGAATGGGTGGGCACTGATACCATCCGTTCTGTCTTCCTGTGTTCATTTCGGCCCTGGCTTTCTCTGAGTTCAGCCAGCTCTTTGCTGGCAAGATGGTTCAGACCCTCTGTGCTCTCCACGATTACCCTTCCTGAGGGAGGGTCGCCATAGCACTCTCATCTGGGAGGAAGGCCAGGTAGGGGGCTGCAGAGGAGACCCCGCTCTACAGCTGCCATCGTGGTTCACCAAGGCCCTTTGGCTTGTCTTCCAGGAATGCCCATCTCTAGCCCTGGTCTTGCTAATTAGAACTTGGAAACTCATTTTATTTATACGCATCCTTTCTTACTCTATCGCCTGTTGCTCAGGAAAATTATGGTCATAGAGTTCAGTTCTAGACCTCCCTACTTGTTTGGTTCTGCCGTCTGTGCAGTCAAAAAATGTGAGTTTTTTGTTGGATAATGTAAAAACTGTACCAAGAACCAGTGTAGGAGGAAAAACCCAGCACGGCAGATTAGGAGAGTTCTAGATCTGGCTCTGAGGTGGGTGGTTCTCTGGCCTGGAGCAAGTCTTTTTCCTTATATGGGACCTTAGTTCTTTATCTAAAGATGAAGGTTTGGGACTAGATCCCTAGGATTGCCCTAAAGACTTGACAGTCTATGAATGTACCCCATTTCCCACTGTTGTCGCCTGGGGAGTTGGTATGTAGCTCTTGTATAGGCTCCCATGTTTCCTCGGTTGAAGTCCTTTCCAACATGCATTCTTTTCTTAATAGTATCCCTTGGGATTTTCCAGGTCTCAGGTCCCTTCTAGTGACCCAGCCTTGCCTTGGAAATCAGCTGTTTGCTGAAATAAACAAGTTGGGGCAGACCTGCCACTGCTGACCCAGAATCTGCTAGCTTGGCATGGCAAGATGCCTGAGATGGCAGAGGCCCAGGAAAACCATTAAATACATCGAAAACATGCCCCGCGGCAGCTGTAGAATGCCTGGCCAAGTCACTTGCCTCTTGCCATGTTCATACCTCCCCTTGTGGCTGATCCCTTTGATGCTATTCGAAGCCAGAGCCATCCCTGCCGCCTGGCTTCTGATACCTCACTGCCAGCAGGCGTGGGGCTGCTTTTAATTGATGCCAGAGCCTGGCTTCTAAGAGGTTGCAGATTCTAAGAGGTTGCTGTGTGGAGACGGGCCGGGTCACCTGCTTTCCCATTGCTCAGCAAGCAGTCTCACCTGGTGGTTTTACAGACAGAAAGTTCCTTTTCTCTCACTTAAAAAATGCCACACCCCCCTGAATCCACAAAGCAGCTAAACAATAAAAAGTGTTACCCAAGGGCTGATCTTGGAAACAGGGTTCTTTGGTACAGAAAAGCAGTGAAATAGGTCTGTTCATACCAACGCCCTATTTACCTAATAAGACACACTGTCATATATTTACTAACAGACTCTGAAACCATGGAGGAGAAACCTTTGGGGTTCTCGCCAATGTGTATTCTATATTGTGAGCTTTTTTTATTTTTTTAAATCCCAGATTATGTCCCAGTAGGTCTGCCATCTGGCATTACACACCGAGGTATGTAGGTGATGAGTTTTTTCTTTTCAGAAGGGCACCTTAGCACAGGTCTCACAGTGGTCATGGTTTTGTTGAAACAGTAGTTAATGAAACGAGTCAGTACCACACTCGGCTGCCTGCGAAGAGAGCTTCAGTCTTCGTCTGAGTTCCTGTGAGCACAAGTCCGTAAGGGCAGGGCGCTTTGCCCGTGTTGTTTATTGCTGTATCCCTCTGTGCCTACACGGTGCCTGGCACATGGTCAACACTCAGTGGACCATGGATGGTGCACGGTCCAGTAGATGTAGTGCATATAGAGCACGATTCAACATCTGTGAGATGAGTCAGAGCTCGTGGATAATTTCTCCCTCGTGTTGGGCATGTAGCCCAGTGCTTTATGGGAGTCAGAATTACATGCAGCGCTGCTCATTTCAGCAGCTTCTAGTCATTTTCTATAGGTTTTGCCACGGTGTCTCCTTTTGCAGGACACTAATTGTGTTGAGTCAAGCCAATTGTTGATGTGTATATTGGGGGCTCAGTGGATAACTCAGGAGGTTTCAATCAGGGAGAGCCATGAAGGGTGACATGCACAGCTGCCCCAGGAAGGCCGGGGTTAGGCATCTGGTTCTCGCTCAATTCTGCGAGTGCCCTGGCTGCGTGCTTCTCTCTGAGAAGGTAGTGACTTGGGGCTGCAGTCCTCTGTGTAGTGGAGGGCTAGGTGTCCTGTAAAATGTGTTCGTGATTCTGTGGGGGGCAGGGGAGGAGCGCAGGTGGCCTTGTCACTGTGTGTGTGTCCCCGCTGACACTTTGACCTTATTTTTTGGCAGGCCTGAATTACGTTCTGACGGCTGATGTGGCCAAAAAGGAAAAGAGCCAGTTGCCCAGGGTCTACTTTGTGTTGCTGGGAGAGTCCGTGGGTCAGGTCTCTGAGAAGCTGCAGCTGGCCCACATGGAGGAGACGTGTCATCACTACGTGGCCCACGTGAAGGTCAGTCCTTTTCATCCTCGCACTTTGATCTCTACAGATGTTCATTTGGAACCATGGAAACTACTTTTTTTTATTGTGCATTACGTATGCTCTGACTTCTAAAACCTTATTTTACCAGGAGGACATCCCTTTCTTCTTTTAAAGTTGGAGCCTGACCGCCCTGTATTTATCTTTTTGTGCTGGCCTCAGCCTCTGAGGGGGTTATCGTGGACCAGGAGACCTGGCTTTGACTTGTGCTTTTGGGAGGTTTCGCTTTGTCTCTCCTCCGTGAGGCTCAGTAGTCTTCGCAGGGGAGAGTCACAGACGCACATGCCTTGTGGTGCTGGATCGTACGGTACCTGATGCCTGTCTTCATGGTCTACTGCATGTTAGCTCATAGCCACGGTTAAGGCGTTTTAAAACTGGTTGGACTAGATTGTTATCCCTTGATGACTTTCTGTTTATTTTTGGAGTGCATTTTTTTGGTCCTCTCACTCTAAATAAACACTCAAATGTTTTTCTCCTCTTGCAAATGTTTGTGAAATACACTTTGCTGCTAATTCAGGAGGCCAGGGTTTCATTAGTGACAGGAGCTGGCAGGGTGGGAGTCTTGGCGGTTCCCAATGTTACAAGAATGGCCAGCTGCTGTGACCCACAGGAAAAGGCCCCTAGAGCATAGGAGGTAGAAGGACCATCAGGACCCAGGCCACATGGTGGGTAAAATGAATGTGAATTTTGAAGTCACACAGGCCTGGTTTGTATCCAGTTTGACCTCTCTGTGTCTCTCCATTTCTTCATCTCTAAAGTGGGCGCAGTAATACTTACCCTTGAAAGGTGGTTGCAAGAATTAAACATTACATAATGAATATATTTAGAGGACCTTGCATGGAGTCTGACACGGCAAGCGCTAAGCATTATTATCATTTGGTTGGGCTGTATGTAACTGCCAATATTCTAACATTCCTGACTTATAAAAATGGCAATTTCATGTAGTTCATTCTAATATTATTAGCTAGTGGCTTTCTGGATGATGGCAAAAATAGTCCACAGATTAGAGATGAAATATTGTTCTATTATTGCATTGTTAGTGCCAGAGCAGGAGAATAACAGCTGCTTCTAGATGCTTCTGGGTTGTATATAGAGAAATGCCCCACACATCCATGGCACTTGATCTGGCCCAGAGCCTATGAGTCCATGCCCCTGAGATGCTTTTCAGTGGGGCTGGGCTATGTCTCCTGGCAGGACTTGTGCTGGGGCCTGCCCAGACCTGCTGCCCAAAGGCCCCGGGTGAAAGCCATTTATAAAACAGTTCATGCTCCTGCTAAGCCAACCAGTCACCCGCGCCTCTAGGTGTTGCATTACATGGCTGCCCAGAACAGGCTCATGTCCAAACATTGCCAGGCTTTTAAGCGCCTGTGCTTGGTGTCTCCATGCTTCCCGGAGACGCGGCATCGTGCCTTGGGCTTCCTCCGGCTGGCTTTTCCACAAATGCTTTCCTTCAGGGCTCTTTGTGACTTCTTGCTTTGGCTGAGAGAGTGCCTTCATGTGTAGTTGCCAGGGGTCCTGGCCACAAGCAAGGGCCACACAGAGCCTGCAGGTCTCCACAGAGGACACCCAGGGAACAGCAATAATGAGGTGCAGGCCAGAGGCAGGGCTGTTTCTGTGGGGGCCTCTGAGGGTTCCTGGGGGAAAGCAGGTCTGCCCAAGACTGTCGGCCCTGCTGCTGCCTAATCTGCAGGCTTGCCAGATTTAGCAAATGAAAATAGGATTTCTGGTTAAATCTGAATTTCAGATAAACAACAAATAACTTTTATTATTTTTTTTTAGTATAAGTATGTTCCCAATAGTATGTGGGATGTTCTTATACTAAAATTTATTTGTTGTTTATCTGAATTCACTTGTAACTGAGCATCATGTAGGAAGATTCAACCTGATCAATATCCTTCTACCCCACACATAGTACGCCCGCATTCAATCGAAACATGGCTGACAAGAAGAGAGATTGAGATGGTGGCCAGAGGAGTGTGGAGGCTGAGGGCACGGCTCGGGAGCACGGAGCGAGCACAGACCTTGATGTGATTCTTTGGGTCGTTTTAGGGAAAAGCAATGAACTTGGAGCTGGAGAAATTTGGATATAGTTATTGCTTGACTGTTTCCTCATGCAAGGGTATGAGGGTGGTTGAAACATCAGGAAGGCATAAGCCTCTGAGGCCTCTACTGTTCAAGAGGAAGCACCCCTGTTGAGCTGTGCTCAAGGTGGCTGATCACTTCCAGCCACGAGGAAAGGTGTTTCTTTTCTACCAGGTATTGCCTGGATTGTAGCAGAGGATCTGGTGAATGGCAGAGTGAGCCAGTGAGGGTGAATGCTAATGAGCTGGCTGGCTGTCCGCAGTGTGGCCCAGCTGGCCTGGCCTGTGGTTTCTCCAGATGTGGGAAAACAGCTGTGGAGGCTGTGGCTCTTGTGGGGCCGAGAGCGGCAACAAGGCTGGTGGGAGGAGCAGCAGCCTGGCCGCCTGCTGCAGTGGGGACTGGGAGCTGGAGGTCAGGGCCTTGGGAGCACAGTGCGGCCTTGGCCTCGAGTGGAGCCTTCTCAATGGGGCTTTATAGACAGCGGAGGAAGATAAATAAAAGCGTCCTGGCTTACCATGCACCATATGGCTAGCAGACAGTGAGGCGGACACTAGGGGCTGGGTGGGTTTTGTTTAGGCTATCTTTAGGTATTTTTTTCTTTTTTTTCTTTAAGCCTATTCCAACCTTCTTCTCCTTTTTTCTTTCTCCTTTTCCCTAGAAGTTTTCATCCCATATATGGCGATATGTGTCTGTCATAGAAGACTGCTTGGGCTAACACCTGCCTCCCAGGCTGGCTGCATTGTCCTTTGCTTTGTTCCTCTCTCAGCCCAGATGGGGCCTCCCGGGCATACAGAATTTTGTGATAAACCCCATCCTCCTGGGGGTGCCTGGTCCCTTCTCAGGGCCTCACTGTGGTCAGCAGAACTGAGGCCGTTCCTCTTGCTTCCTTGGCCTCTCCGCCTCAGAGTCCACATGCCCCAGTGTCTCTCCTGTCCTCCCACAAGCTGGCCTGGATTTGGGGACAGACCCCTTCAAGTGAAGTGGGCTGGAAACCTTTTGTGGACCCCCATGGTCACAGACCCACACACTTCTCTTTAGCCTTAAGGCTCTTCACCAAGTGGCCTCAGTTTACCTTCCTAGCCTCATTTTCTGCATCACATCACATGCGCCCTGGGCTCTCGTCAAGGTGAGCTGACCCCTTTCCTCCTGGAACGTGCCTCCCATGCCTCCCTGCTTCAGTTCTTGCGCTCACCTCAGCGTCTCTGGCACCTCAGTCACCAGAGGCCCGGTTTTTGTCACATCCATGTACAACCACGTACTGTAACCCGGATGGTTTTGCATTTTTTTTTTTTTTTGATCTTCAACACATACCTCCTGCGGGAGTGTATTTCATATTTTTTCTTTAAATCAGCTGACTTTGGCCTCAAATAAAATAATTTAAAACAGAACCTTTGTACCCTCCTGTTAGCAGAAAACCAATTATCACATGCCAAAACAGAAAGTAACTGTAAAAATAAATACTTTGAAGACACAACAGTGTCATTGAGTTCTAACTGGATTTACTGTTTGCCACAGTCTCTGAAGAAGCAGCCTGCTCTTCTCTGTGTTAGAAGGAGAATTACAGAGTGCTAGGGACTATTAAAGATATACTGGCACCAATCTGGAACTTTCTCTAATTCAATTAGAAGGACCAAAGGGATATTGACTGGAGAGTAACTTTCAAATATGTCGGTCCTTTTGTGGAGTCATGCCCATGTGCCATGGAAAACCATGTCATGAGCCCCAGTGGGAAGCCCATGCTGTGCTGTGGTTGGCTGTGCCTCATCCCTCTTGCCTGCCGAAGGGTTGTCCGTTCTTCACGGATCAGTCAGTTTACAGGTCTTAAACCTCTTCAGCCAACCACTGTCCTTGGTGATGCTGCCATCAGCTTCCTGTCTTCTCGAGCTCATTTCATGCTGCCCAACTCCTGCTTTGAGAGTGATAGGCACAAAATAAATGCTTGTGAAACCGAAACTTGTTTAAGTGACTGCTCGGGTCAACTGGAGTGTAGGGTCACAGGGAGCATCCAATCGGGGTGGGGCCTACTCACCTTTCTGTGGACCTGCAGCTGGGAGGGGATGGCGTGAGATGTTGGAGCAGAGAGTTTTGGTTGCATGGCTCATGCTGAAGGATAAATATGAGTGTCCTGTCACTACTCTGTCACTTTCTGGTCTATGTGTATTTACCTGGATGATAACTGCTCTATCCTCAGGTCCTGCACAGTACCTTGAGAAAGGCAGCCTTTTGTGAAATCAGGTAGTTGTGTAAGGCAGGCAAATTCGGAGCCTCTTCAGAAGCCAGGAAACCAGGGTGACAGTTTTGAGTCTATAGAGGGATGGTGGAGAAGCCCAGGCAAAGAGGAGTATGGGGTCAGTTGCGTCATTCCCAACTGTGAGGATCAATGACACCCTCTAGAGGCCTTCCAAAAACCTTTGGTGAGCAAAACCATGTGTCGGACACTGTCAAGGGAGCCAATAACGAGGATTAATGTAAAAAGGAAAAAAAGGCACTCCACAGTAGACAAGGGCATATAAAAGCACAGTGGCTTTCTGAGTAGCTGCAGATGTTCATAAGGCTGGTGTTTTATGTCATTGGAGAAATTTCCAAGGGAGTTGGAACCTTCAGTTACTGCAGCTGCTTTGTCACTTGTGAGGGCAGATGGTCGTCCTGGCCCAGCAAAGGGCAGGGCATCACGCTGGGCATCACGCTGGCCACCACGTCTTCTCTGAGGTCACACCTTGGGCTCTGGCCAGGTGTTTTAGTTGGTTTCCATTTTCACATCGAACACAATGTCTTAGGACCAAGCTCTAGTCACACAGCAGACTGTGAGTTTGCAGTGTTGGACCTATTGAATGCCGTTTGCAGAGGTGTGGGAGGCTTTTATTTTCTTGTTTAAGAAGTTGAGGAAGGGA